CTCCTCTTAATGCACCCCAGGATGCCATTGGCCTTCTTGGCAACAAGGGCACCCTGCTGGCTCATGGTCAGCTTGTCCTCCACCAGGACTCCCAGCTCCCTCTGGGCAGAGCTGCTTTCCAGCAGGTCAGCCCTCAGCCTGTACTGGTGCATGGGGTTCAACCTCCCCAGGGGCAGCACCTGATACTTGGTCCTGGTGGAACTTCATCAGGTTCCTCTCTGCCCAACTCTCCAGCCTGCCCAGGTCCCGCTGAATGGCAGCGTAGCCTCCCAGTGCGTCAGCCACTCCTCCCAGTTTGGTAGTGTTAGTGAACTTGCGGAGGGTACGCTCTGTCCTCTTGTCCAGGTCATTGATAAATAAGTTGAACACGATCAGGCCAAGTACTGAGCCCTGGGGAACCCCACCAGCCCCTGGCCTCCAACCAGACTCCGCGCCGCTGATCCCAACCCTCTGAGCTCTGCCATGCAGCCAGGTCCCGATCCACCTCACTGTCCACTCATCCAGTCCACCCTCGGGCTATTTAGAAGGTAAATATTAGGCCACGTAAGACAAAGAGCAGAGCACCGGGGGTGCATGGGGGCGCAGCAGTCAGGCATTTAGCAGAGAGCTTTCATCCTCTCTTTGAGGGACGGATACATCTGCAGTCTGCATCCTGCTGCTGCCTCTTGCTTTCCTTCCTCCCTGGACACTGACTCAGCACAACCAGCCTTTTATCACAGGACAAAACAATAGGGATCCTTCCTTCCAGGCATCACATCCGCCTGTTTCATCGATGTTTCTTTCCTTCGCCACCCACTAATAGGAAAAAGGCTTCTCCTATAACACCGCATACATGGCGTCTTTGGGATGCAGGCTCAGGCTTTGCAGCCACAGCAAGGAGACAAAACTGCCTTTGCTCAGAGCAGCTGAGATCCAAACCCATGTCCCCAAGCCACAGCGAACATCTCACCTTCACTGGGATCACTTCTGATCCCAGGACTTTGCGCCTTGGAGCTGGTCATGAGAAAAGCTGGTCAGGAAAACAGGACTGTACAGAAGGTGTTGAAAGCCTAGCCCGCAGGTATTTCCAGCTGCTGGAAATCCTCTGGATGTATTTCCTAGCCTCCCACACGCAGAAGGCTGGGAAATAAACCCAGAGGGTACCAACCAGTTCCCCAAGCTGCCCACGGAAAAGCCCTCGCCTTGCAGAGAGCTGGTTTCTCTGTACAGACCCACTCCAGAGTCCCCAGGTTACCTCAGAGAAATCCCCCATCAGAGACCCACACGTTAGGTCCTGCTTTTAGCTGAAGAGATTGAGTCCGCACACCATATCACGCTCAGGCCCACTCTACCAAGCAAAAAAAAATAAATTCAATTAAGTCTTAGTGCCAGAGGCAGCAGGCAAGCAAGTTGGTGGAGGATGTATGCAGGCAGCAGGGCTGGCAGGCAGCAATCATTTGCTTTGCCATCGCCAGCTCCCACTTGTAAGATCAAAAGCAGAAAGCATTAGGTCCCATGGCCTTCAGACCTATCGAGCACTTGTTTCCTGCTGCCGCCAGCCAGAGTCCAAGGCAGTGACAAGCACAGAAATCAGCAGGATAACACAGAAAGATGTGTTTAAACATAGATAAAGAGATGCTTCCCAAGATCAGTGCCGACCAACTGAGTCTCAAGGGCCCGTCACCGAGCACATCCGTGCCACAGGGTCCTGCAGCAGCACAGGCACGGCTCTGAGGCAGCTCACTAGGCAGGACATTCTGCTTTTTGGACTCCCATGTGACTGAACACAGGCAGTTACTGAAAGAAAGCTGCTCGTTATTTGTGCTGCTTCCCAACCTGTTACAGCAACCGGAATGATTCTCTGAACAGGCAGGTTCTGCCTCCAGAGCAGTTTTGCATTCATATCCCATCCCTGGGCAAGCTATTGGGAAGGAGAATTGTAGAATCATAGAATGGTTTGGGTTGGAAGGGACCTTAAGATCAATCAGTTCCAAACCCCTGCCATGGGCAGGGACACCTTCCACTGGACCAGGTTGCTCAAAGCCCCATCCAGCCTGGTCTTGAACATTTCCAGGGATGGGGCATCCACAGCTTTGCTGGGCAACCTGTGCCAGTGCCTCACCACCCTGACAGTAAAGAATTTCTTCCTAATACCTGATCTAAATCAACCCTCTTTAGAAGACCTCAGACTAAGTGTACATCATCATGGCCAGGAATGGGCTTATAAGGTCATCCAGGAGTTGAGGAGGAAGACGCCGCCTAAGTTCAGGCTGCAGACACTAAGCAGGTTACACACAGCTGGGCACAGGAGGAGAAGCTTCCAGAAAGAGCATTGGCAAGGGTTGAGCAACGGCAGGATCATCATCCTTCCCGGAGAGGGTCCTTCTAAGCCCCAAGAGCATCTTAACTGTAAAAAAGGTACTCTGATCAATAACAGTAAAAAAACCCACCACTACAGGAGCAGGCATTTCTGAGGCATTTCATCCTTCCTGTACTTCTCACACTTTATAAAGCTTCTAGCATTAGGAACAGGTCAGATTTATTTTCCACTTCCCTGTTTTTGACAAGCAGCAGCACTCTCATTTGAGGTCACGGCCTCAAGTCCTAGAGAGCCCGTCCTCCTCGGTACAGGATTCACATCAGACCCGGGGTCCTGCTCTTCTCCTTCCCCACCTCGCTCTCCTCTTGCCCGTTACCCCACAGCATGGCTAAATGAGACTGTGGACTGAAGAAAGGGGGGAAAAAAAAAGAATTCCTGATGGGAGTTTCCTACCAGCATTGCACAGCCAAATTTTCATTTTTTTCAAATTAAACGTGGCAGGAAAAAATGAATTATTCTGTTGGAGTTTTACCAGATGCTTTTGCATTTCAAACATCAGATTTCTCCTGTGTGGACAACCCAGAGTTCTTTGGCTTAAAAATAGGACAAGTGAGACCTTCTCAGAGCATTTGGGGAAGACAAATAGGGAGCTCTTAACTCTTCTGTTTTTTTTCTCGCCTTTAAAAAAAAAGCCAGGATGTGTGTGTGGGGGTGAGCCCAAGTTACCACACACTTTATAAAAGCTTGCACACAGGGAACAAGGCCAAGGAGCACAGGGTTTCT